AGGAAGGAAGGAAGGAAGGAAGGAAGGAAGGAAGGAAGGAAGGAAGAAAAAAACTATCAGGGAAAAGAAAGGGTTGAGAGCTGGAGTCCAGCCAAGCCCAAGTAGCTGCAGGTCACTTACCAGGGGAGAAGGTTGCAGAGCCCACCTCAGAGACCTACAGAAGGAACAGTGATCCATGCCTGTGTGTGAGGGACCCACCTGAAGCAGTGGAGGAAACTGGAGTTCTCAAAGCCAAAAGAAGCTCCTTCCCCCCCCCCCCCCCGCCCCATCGGGGTGGGGACCATGGACAGTAGCTACAGCACTCAGGAGATCTTTGCCTCAATAATGAGGGGAAAGTAGCTCAGGTCTAAACTTCTGGTTCTTGTTTAAAAAGTAAGACCTGAGAGGGTTGGGGTGTAGCTGCGTTAGTAGAATACTTGACTAGCATGCATGCAGCATGCCCTGGGTTCAATCCCTAGCATGGGCACAAACCAGGCATGGTGGCCCACAACTACAATCCCAGCACTCAGAAGGGTAAGACAGGATACAGAGTTGTAGACACAGTAAGGTCCCATCTCCAAAAGGAGGATGGGAAGCAGCTATTCTGATGAGCACTGTAGTAAGAAACCAAGTCAGATTTTTCCAGTTACCAATACCAGTGTCTCATGTTTTCTATTGCTATGATGAAACACCATGACCAAAAAACAAGTTGGGAAGGAGATTTATTTGGCTTACACTTCCACAGCACTGTTCATCAAAGGAAGTCAGGGCACAAACCTGGAGGCAGGAGCTGATGTAGAGGCCATGGAGGGGTGCTACTTACTGGCTTGCTCCTCGTGGCTTGCTCAGCCTGCTTTCTTAAAGAACCCAGGACTTCCAGCCCAGGGGTGGTACCACCCACAATGGGCTGGGCTCTCCCACATCAATCACTAATTAAGAAAATGTTCTACAGGCTTGCCTACAGTCCAGTCTTAGGGAAGCCTTTTCTCAGTTGAGGTTCCCTCCTTTCAGATAACTCAAGCTTGTGTCAAGTTGACATCAGACTAGCCAGCACAACCAGTCACCAATAACAGCTCACAATAGAATACTACTGAAAATGTTATAGTAGCAGAGGGCCAGGGATAGTTAGTAGAAAAAAAGGAAGGTGGGCTTTCACAGAGTTAGTCTATCCATTGGAAACATTTTAATGTTTTGTTTTCACTTAATTGAGAATAATCTGGGAAATCTGGGTGAGGTCAAGGTTCATTTAGTAGTCTGTAAGCCATCTTCATTTTTACTTTTTGCTTTGCTTATGTGGAGCCAGAGGGAACCGGAGATCACAAATCCAGTATCCACCATTGGCTTGGAGAACTGCTCACTGGCCCTCAGCAGCAGGCTCTTTCCACAGATCACACACACACACACACACACACACACACACACACACACACCTCACTTCTGCATCATTTGCATACTGGTTATTAGGTCCCAACCCCACAAAATGACAGTGCCACATGCAACATCTGAAATGACAGTCTGGGCTCAGTGCCGGTGAACACTGACCCAGTAAACATTCAGACATTGTAAAATGGGTTTTGTTTGCCAGAAAAGCCATTACTTTCTTTTCCCTACAACTCCAAGCCTCCAGGAAGGATCTCTAGTTTACTTTTAACTCAAGCCTCCCAACAGATCAAAGCCCATGCTAGTTCCCAGGCTGGACCAGCCTCTCATCTCAACTGGCAGGACTTTCCCAGCCATTTTACCCAAGGGTCGGTCTAGTTTGGTGGCTTCACTGCACCCTTGCTTACACATACAAATAAGGAAGAACATCCAAATAAATGAGAGCCAGCCGTAATTTTTGCTAGAGCATCAGAGAACACACAACTTAAAATTTACATCATGACTCAGGCACCAATTAGAATGGCCCATATTGGGCTTCTCTGGAACCAAAGACCATTCAGCTCATTTGAGTATCTGTGACAGGGCAAGACAGTGCAGAGAGGTTCCTCCAGCTTGTGTTCTTGCTGAGGCAATTTTAGGCTTAACTAGACTTTGATCTTCTTGATGGAGAATCCTTGGAAAGTTACCCAACTCTGTTCTAGGAACCCGAGGACAAGATGTCCCTGCTAACTTAACTTCTGTTAAACTGCCTGCTTGAACCAGGCAGTGATGTCACATACCTTTAATCCCAGAACTTGGGAGGCAGAGGCAGGTGGATCTCTGTGAGTTTGAGGCCAGCCTGGTCTAAAGAGTGAGTTCTAGGACAGACAGGGCTACACAGAGAAACCCTGTCTCTGGGGGAAAAACAAAAACTCTGCTCATGCAAACCTCCCCATCCAGCTAACCACTTACGCTAGCTTCTGTTAAACTGCTTGCTTACACAAAACCTCCCCCTGTAGCTACCCACAGGAATATAGGATGTGGGTTGTTTTGTTTGTTGTTGTTTGTCTTTACCTAAATACTCAGGACTGTGCTTGGATCCCAAATCCCTGAGCTTAGTCCCAGATTGCTGGAATAAAGACTCAATGGACTAAACTGAGTAGCCATCTCTGGTGGGTTCCCATTAATACATCTAACACTGAAGAACTCCGGCTTTCTCCTGGCTTAGAAAAATTGCAAATCTCATTAAGTTCTGCAAATCTGAGTAGAATATCTGGGAAACACCAGGCACTACCCTGAACTCGGTACAGTGATGGCCCAGATGTGTGAGTGCCATGCCATCAGGGGCTAGAGCTTCTTCAGGAGACACACTACACATGTGAGTCCAGTGCTTCAGAGAACAGGGTTCTAGATATAAAGAATGGGCTGAAGAGATAAAGCCACCTCAGTTCATAACCCTGCTCATGGGGCCCAGCATGGGGGCTTACACAGCTAACCTCTAGTAAATGGGTTTAACTGGCTTCCCACCCTGTTCTGTGCCCGACATTACCAAAATGGAGATAACTGAAACGGGGGTGGGGGGTTATACTTAAAAATGGAAAGGTTTGCTATGAACCTTTCAGAAAGAAGGCTGGACAGTGAAGATGCAATCAGGAAAGTTGTGTGTGAGGAAATGAGGATGGGCCACCTATAATGCCAGAGTGAAAAGGATGCTCACAGAACATCCTGTAACTCCCTTCAAGCTCCAAGTCTGAACCTCTGCTGTAGAAGCCTGGCCTTACATGCAGGAGGTCTGAGGGAGGGAAAGAGAAAAGGAAGGGAGGGAGGGCCCAGATTATCAGGGTTC